CTTTTGTTGGTCTAGATTCTGGTGATCATAACTTTGCCTTGGCGAATCCCTAGAGAACTGTGCACTTCCAAAGAACGCTTTATTTAATGGCTGAAAGAAGATGAACTGAAGGAAGGAGATGGGAGCCTTTATCTACCAAAGGTTAAGCACGGTGGATGATGTCATCAACAGCTGATGTGGACGGACCACCAGAGGAGGCATCAGCAGTCCTAAGCTGGCATGGCTCTGCCACATTGAAAGTCCCTCTTGCCCCCTTTGGGCCTCACTTTTCCCAGCTGGATTACAAAATCTATGCCCAAGGGAAGTTGTGTACGGCAATGGGATAAGGCATTTGACAAAAGAGCTTTTTGGAAAAGAGGAGAATGTTGATCTGAGGAGCTTGTGCTCATGGGAGCAGGGCGAGCACAGAGTTTCTTGTCTTCTTGCAATCACTGCCTCCAAGCTCCCAAGTGAGCGTGAGTCTCCCTCAGAGACCACACATGTAATTAGTGTGGGGAGGTTTCTGGGAAGGCATCGGGCTTTTCAGGCACAGTCATACGCGAAGGAAAAAAGACCCACAATATGGAGACTCAGTGGACTGAGGAGGTGGCTCTAGTGCATGGTTTTGGCATCTGTCAGCATCATGGTTAGAAATCCATCCTGGGGCCGGCCCCGTGGCTTGGTGGTTAAGTGCACGTGCTCCGATGCTGGTGGCCCGGGTTCGGATCCCGGGCGCGCACCGAGGCACCACTTCTCCGTCCATCCTGAGGCCGAGTCCCACATACAGCAACTAGAAGGATGTGCAGCTATGACATACAACTATCTACTGGGGCTTTGGGGGGAAAAAATAAATAAATAAAATCTTTAAAAAAAAATAAAATCTTTAAAAAAAAAAAAAAGAAATCCATCCTGGCTTGTCTGTTCAGTTACCTTGGGTTCTGTGCCAAGGGTGACTGGGGAGACCACTGAGGATTTCCTAGATCTGCAGGGTCTGATTCATCCTGCATCAGCCCACAATGATGGCAGACGTGGTCTGATTTCAGGCAGAGAACAGCAAACCAGTATTAATAAGAGACAAACCTACTAGATGCTTCTGGGAACATTTCAACCTTGTGCTCTTGCCTTATCTCCTTTCCCACACTCAGCAGCAAAGTAGCTAGAAAACCACAGGCTCCAAGGAGTCCCTGGAGAAGGGGTGGCGGTGAGCGGTTTTTTAGAGAGCTGAGATAAAGTGAGGAGCAGGCACATCCACATTGGGGCATTTCGCTCATAACAGCTAGAAAGGTGACCAATATCTTGAGATCTGAAGGGGGGAGATGGAGTTCTCAGGGATCAGGGCTGAGGGATATCCTCAGAGTGTGACCACTGGGAGGCCATTCTGTCCACAGTGGCCATTGGCCAAGGACATTGGATGCTTGATATACCCTTGAGAGGCAGAATTTGGAGTAAGATGGCACAAAGGAATACCCTCTTTAGCCAAGAAAATGCAAGATCCTCTTTCAGTCAGGGTTCATAGTTGCAAGCAAAGGGAACTGACCCTGGATGATTAAGCAGAGAGAGAATTTATTAGCAAGACACTGGGCAGCTCACAGTATCTCCAGGAGCACTGGGGCACCTGGTTTGGAAGTTGCACAGACAGATAGAGCACAGCTTCTGCCAAAGGACTCATATGGTGAAGACACATTTGGTCCCCTGCAGGGCCCTCTGCCAACACCCCAACACTGGGCACTGGGTGCTGGCTGGAAACAGAGCCACCGTTGCTTCTAGAAACTAGAGGTCCTGCCACTATGATTGCCATTGACCATTGCCAGAATACATTCTGGGAATGTGAGTGACAGAGCCCAGGTCACTTACCTCGCCCACCTGCCAGGGGGCTGGAGAAGCCAGTGTCCAGCACTTTTGGTTTCTATAGTGAGAGGTGGGCTCTGCCTCACAAGGTGGAGGAGAGGGGGCGGGGCACAAGCATAGAAGAAGATACAAGTCTCTGGCGACAAAATGGATGACCATTGTCCCCTGTAAGGCATGAAATGACAGGAACTGACTATGAGGGCTTCTAACGCTGCTTTCTCTTGGAAATGGCCTCTTTTTGGTCCTAATGTACCAGGCTTCTCTTGTCTAGCAGGTTGTGAAAGGATCCTGATTCTCTCAGATCCCACTTAAGGACAGTCGTCTGTTCCTGAGTATCAGACATTCTGGCATAAAAATGCTGACCAGGAAACTATTCTTGTTATTTTAAATGGAAAAAATTATATTGCACACATCTGCCAATCAATTTTCTGAACGTAATTAAACATAGTAAAACAACTACATACAAGTAATAAACTACCACAGTAGGATGTAAAATGCTTAAAATATAACTTAAAGCACCAATAATCAATATGGTCACTAGAGGTTGCTTTGTATGAAGTGATGCTGTGACATCTTTCAGTGCCAGCAACACGAGAAATGTTCCTCCACTTTCTTGACATTCAGCATGCTTTACAAAAACTTCTGATGTTCTATTAATTACGATTAATAATTAACTGTTAAATTAATAATTAATTAATATTTCTCAAGACTTTATTGACACATTGCTTTGTTTAAAATGTAGTGTGTTGTGTTTCATGGGTGTAAATATAAATTTACCCTCAATAAATTATGGCCAAAAAACATTACTTGGAGAGATACATGTGTTCTCTGAAGTTTGGATATTAAAAACCAAGAAGCATCTTGCAAGGGTGATGTCAGCTGGGAAGATGTTTTGTGAGGAATACCTCCATTTGCGGAACATCTCCCGAGCACAAAGGGCTTTCCATACATTGGCGCTAATGTTTACAATAACCCCAACTCCATTTTACAGGGTGAAATATTAAGAATTTCTCAGATCCCCACTGGGACTGAGACTCAAACCCAGGTCTGTTAGGCTCCATGATCTTCCCACAATACAATCCTGCCTCTTGATGTTTCCTTGTAGCATAGCTGAGAAAAGCTGAAATATACAAGAGGAGCTTTACTAAAGTAAGGGAAATAGGTCCACAAAAAATTCAGGATAATAAAGCTAGTCATGTATGAAGTATAGGTTTTTTTAAACCCCTAAATTTCTATTGCTTACCAGTCCCACTTAGTATGTTCATTTCATATTCTGTCTAGGTGGTGAGGTGAAAGTGGTGTGAACTTTGAAAGCGAACACACTTGGGTATGAATCCCAACTCTGTCACTGATGAGCTGTGTGACCTTGGGCTCTTTACCTATCTGGGCCTCAGATTTCTCATCTTTAAGATAGGGATGATATTTTCCTCACAGGATTGTGGGGAAGATTTAATGATATAGCGGATGTAAAGTAATGTAGATTTCTGGTTCAAGATGGTAGGCTGAGGACGCTTGTCTACTTCTCCTTCCACCTGTAATCCCATAGAAAATTACAAAAAAATTGTTAAAAATAATAAGTTCAATACAATGGAGAAAGGAAAGTCTCTTCAATAAATGGTGTTGGGAAAACTGGACAGCCACAAGCAAAAGAATGAAAGTGGACCATCTGCTATCGCCATTCACAAAAATTAACTCAAAATGGATCAAAGACCTGAAGGTGAGACCTGAAACTATAAAACTCATAGAAGAAAATATAGGCAACACACTATTTGA